TCTCACAGTATGCGATGGTTAGTAAAAACAGTAACTTTACGTTCTTTCTAATATTTTATAAGTAGTGTTACGGTTTTTCGACGCTCACAGTTGAAAACCTGAACACCTTGGACGATCTGAAATGGATGAGCAATGCATCGAGATGACAAAAAACAATCAGCATTGAAGGGCACAGAGGTCGCGTATATGCAGAATATAAAGATTACAATTTTAAATTTCTTTATCTTATGTAAAAGATCGATCGCAATATCTCTGTTATAGTTTATCGTCGGTCGTTGACGAGCTCATGGTTGATACGAAATCGTAGTACATAGTATAAGCTTTTTATTAATATCAACAAAAGTAGTTTTAAGAACGGCCCGCATAGCCCGCTCGGAATAGGCGTAATGTGCAAGTTAAAGTAAATACAGATATGATCAGCTACCTATTAACACGCCCACAATTAACAAAAACTTTAGATTATTTTTATTACTTTGCTCCTATGGTTTCTGTCGCAGTGCGCTCCTTAATTTGCTTTTATTTCAAACGAATCGTGGCAACAACTTTTCAAATTTATTCAATTTAAATGTGTGAGCAGAGCAAGAAGTCATTGCATATATATATATATATATGTTATAGAAATTATATTCAGATGTGTTAATAGATGTTTCTTGTTTTTTTTCTTTTTCATAATTACAAACGCATCCAACTCCACGTAATGAAACTTGATGCGTTCATCTTAATCCAAGCTTTGTGTTGTAATCAAAAACAATTTCAAATTTTCATTTTTTTAATTAAAAACAAAAAAAAATAAAAAATAAAAATAAATAAATAAATAAATAAATAAATAAAAAATTTCTGAGTTCATTTCAAAGAAATAAAATCGAATTTTATTACCACCATAAAACTAGTTAATTTTTATATGCGCAGGACTTCTTTCTGCATTGTTGCTGTAGACGATATGTTAAAAAAAAAATGAATAAAAAATAAATAAATAAATAAACAGTTGAAACAAATTCAGTATGAAAAACGTTTACCACTTATTCCCACATTTATCTTCAGCCAACACTCAGCACACTAACACATGCATACACACACCTATCAGCCCACAATGATTAAGCATAAACTGAATGTTTGCCTTTTTTTTTCGTTTTTTTCCACTTAATCTATAAAGCCGTTTATAGCTGTCAAGCCCCCTCTAGATAGCTGCCGTTTAAAAGATACAATCTCTGCTCTATGACTGTCTATCTATCTATCTGCCTGTCTGTCTGTCTGTCTTTTTATATGTCTGTCTGTGTATCCCTGTATATCTGTACGTTTGTCTGTCCATCTCTCTGTCTGCTTGTCTGTCTATCTCCGTAGCAAAACCTGTGCATTCATACATAGATGCAAACTGCACTACATGCCAATGACTTGACATGTAAAATTCAAACCATAAAATATTTTTTTTTTTTTTTTTTTTTGTTGTAATTTTTATCTTTAATATTTATATATATATATATATATATATATATATATATGTACAAGGAAAAGATTAAACAGCGAGAAAATTTATTTGCTTTTCTTTTCCATTTGGATATTAACACTTGTAATAATTTCTCGGAAGTCATCAAACAATGTTTTATTCCGATCACAAAGGCATATGAAAGCTACACGGGAGAACAGAGAACAGAGAAAGAGATGTCGAGAAAGTGACAAGGAAAAACAGGGATTTGGAAATAAGTATTAAAAGCTTTAACTTGAAAATTGATTGATTCTCTTAACTGCGTTTTGAATGATTTTCATGAAAGAGACAAAAGTATATTTCATACATAGAGTGTTATAGAGTGTTTAAGATTCGCTCCAAATCATGCTTAGAAGCCATTGATTTTTTTTTTTTTTTTTGTGCTTTGATCTATTCATTAAAAATTGTGGTATAGTTCGCACAATATATTATGAAATCATTGCATTGCGACTCCTGTTAGATTTGTTGCAATAAAAGTTACCTGGAGAGAGAGAGAGGCTAGGAAGTAAAGGAAAAATAAATTATTGCTTAGTCATACTGTGTGAAAAACGTGTCTGATCGAAGCTGACTGTTGTTGTACAAATTATCAAAATTATAGAAATATATATATATATATATGTGTATATATATAAATATATACACCACTCTTGCAGGCATAGGCCGACGATTTGAATAAATATCGCAGTGTAAAATACTTTTGTAACAAATTGTAAATGAAAATATATACACATAAATATATAACAAGAAAAAAAAAAACATTTCAAAGGAAGAATTATTTACCCCCTAAGACCAAATCTCGAATAGAGCATAAGGACAAAGGCATTTTTTAGATTGTTACGATCTGTTATTATTATATAAATGCGCTTACGGACAGGCAGAGGCAAAATAAGAAACTTAGGAATGATCGATTCATCTCAAGACCTCAAGTAGCTGTAGTGTCAGCCATTTAGGTACGATTAATAGGATCGTCTCTTATGTATTACTATAAGTTTTTTTAAAGAACTGAAGACGGCGCTTCTAAGCATTGTAAGTAAATGCCTTCTTTAGATTTATCATCACAAAATTAAAAATCCGTCAAATAGAGACAATACCGAAAGGGGGTTTGGATGGCGAAAACAAAATATATAGACGCGGTATGACGCCGGCAGCGTCCCAGAAGCGTCGTACCCTTACTAGCTAAGTACGCATAAAGTAAAATGACTTCTTATATATATATATATATTTTTATATATATATATATTTTTTTTTTTTGTCTGTACCTCTTGTTGTGCTTGGATTGCATGGTATACACTTACCACTTCATAGTGATGTGATATCTCTTCGCTGGCATATATTAGGCAAATAAAAAACCAAAAAAAAAAAAAATAAATAAATAAATAAAAATCATTTCTAGCCTAATTTTTCCCACCATGTTTTTCTTTTCCCTGTTGTGTATAGTTTAACATTTTACCAATAAAATTATTATTATCTTGACATTTTCAATTTCTTTTGGACAACCAATAAATCCTTGGGAAATCTTCGCTTTAAGATCAAACCAGAAACTTTACTTCAACAAGCACGCACTCAAGAAAGCAGCAAAGCTGCTTAAACGGTTACCGAAAGAAAAGAAATCAAATGAAATAAGAAGTCGAAGAAGAAGAAAATGAAGCAAAAAAAAAAAAAAGAAAGAAAGCAAAGAAGCACGCATTGCTGTTTGCGTTTGGTATGTTTTTGCTTTGACTCATAAATATTCAAATTAAATATTACGTTTACACGGTAAGCGCGCGCGTACACACACACACACACACACACATACATACACGCTGGAAAACATAGGCATGCACATAAACAAAATGCAAACAAATCATTTGGATGCCATAAATAAAACAAAAACAAACTATAACTAAGTAAGGGGGAAAAACGACTAACAAACGAATCCTATGTGTACGTGTGTGTGTGTGTGTGTGTGTGTGTGTGTTTAAAATTTCAAATCGACACAACAACAAAACATGTATAACAGCGACAACGTTATTTGATCTCAGGCAATTGCTGCTGCTGCTGCTGCCTCTGTCTCTGCCTTTGCCGTTGCCGTTGCCGCCGCTGCTCTTGCCTTTTGCGCTCATGAATTGCATGCGATATTTGCATTGACATCTTGTTTCGTTGCTTGTAATATTTGGTTATTTGATGGTGGTTGGCTGGCGATGCTCCATTTTGTCTAGCGTCTAGACCATATAGAAAAATATTACTTGATCTACCTACTACTACTATTACTACTACTACTACTACTACTACTACGACTAATACTATTGCACATATGACTATTATTATTACTACCATTATTGTTACGTTTTGCTCTTTTTTTCTTCTTTTTTTTGTTTTTTTGTTTTTTCAAGACCTTGGCCTTTTAACTAAATATACGAATATACAGTTTTATGTCGTATTGTACACACATATAGAGTATAGAGTACGTATGTACGTATGTGACTATATGTTTACTCTTTCTTGGGTTTTTATTAATAAAACCGATGGCAATTTGTTGATAAACATTTACGGGGTAATAAATATAGTTTCTTGTTTACCGTATAGTACTATTTCTAGATTACTTAACAGATTTGTTGTTATTGCTATTATTGTTATTGTTGTTGTTGTTGTCTTTTTGTTGTTGCTGATGATGCAAATGTTCAGCCTGCGGCTCTATATGCATGTGTTTATTTCACGAGCAATAAAATGCTCACTCACCACTCAATAACAAATTCTCATTGTGGTACATTTGTGTTACAACAGCAGCCACACAACTAACTAACTATAGGAAGAAAAACAATCCTTTCGCTTTATTTTTATTTTTATTTGTTTTTTGTTTTTCTTTGTTTTGTTTTGTTTTGCTTATGGTCATAACCATAACATTAATAACAACAACTGCAACAGCAATATTAAAGCTTAACAATCTTGTGCTTAAATGTACAAGTTATCGGTTGACTCTTTTCTTTTTTTTTTCTCTCATTGTTGTTTTTCCTTTTCTTTTTTTTTTTTTTTTTTTTTTTTTTTGTTGTTATTTCAGTTTGTTTGTCAGTTTTTAGCAAGCTTAGCGCTTGTCTAGTGCTACATGAATTTTTTACTTACTGCTTATATCGTTACGTTATGTTTAGAGCAACATTAGCAGCTGACCGATCGAGACAACAGCAGAAAAAGTGCAACAGCAACAGCAATAGCAACAGCAAAAGCAAAAGCAAGAGCAAGAGCAATAGCAACGGTTTACTAAGCTCATCTTGCTAAGCTTGCATTGCTGACTGGCTACACACCATTATTATTACACGCGTGTGAATTTTGCTGTTGGCATTCTACGGCATGCATGCATTCATATACATGCAGAAAGATTTTCATTTTAAGATTTGTTGCCTTTTAATTGAATTTTTATTAAATTATTACTTTTGGGATTCCATTTACTTTTGCTTGTTTTTTCTTTATTTCTTTCTTTTTTAACTTCAAATATGTTGAAGTTTGTGATTTGTTTTAACAAATATTTATTTATTCCACATTCATTTGCAGATGAATCAGACTTGTAAAGTCTGCGGTGAACCAGCTGCAGGCTTTCATTTCGGTGCTTTTACTTGTGAGGGCTGCAAGGTAAGTTTTTCTCTTTTTCTTATTTTCTTTAGACTTTTTAGAGGAAAAATAAATTTAATAAAATAGCAAACAATTAAAATCCCATTACATTTGACATATTTTTTTAAAGCTTTTTCGATTATATGTTTAAAAAAAAAAAAAGAAAAAAGAAAAACAAATTGCGACCCTGGTTACACAATATATTCACAATTCGTTGAAGCTTAAATGAGGTAAAATTGCATCTAATTTACTGCACAATTCGAATATAATAGATATCCTGTATCCTGATCACGTAGACCTAGTCTATCTTACAAAAAATTAAAGCATATGGCGCATAGATGTACACAAGCATACACTCTACAATACAAAAGAATACTTCCATGACATAGCACGAATGGCGAACATTTACAAGCTCTGGAATCCCTGGCAACGAATTCAGAAGGAAGTGACGTCATTCAGTAGATCAATTTAAGTATTCCAAATATAGCCTGTGGCAGTGCTTCTTAGCCGTGGCAGAGCTCGCCGCTTTCCACAAGTTCTCCTTTCCAAGAAATACTTGGACTTTCGTGTTTTTAACGAAATAAGGATGAAAAACCAGGACAGTGATGTGCCGACTCAATTATCTTTTCATTCTATCTCTACGTTTTTCGCCGAAAGTTTGCTTTGTCAAACTTTACTTTTCGCGTCTCGCGATTGTCTCATGATTTCCCGGTTATACTAGGATTCTTTATTATGCCCAACCATCCAAAGAGTCTTTCCGGGACAGCGACTACACTAAGCCAGCCAACTCCGTAAACCTAGCAGTCCTTTCAATCGCTGATGGAGACCGGCTAAGCTAAGTCAGCCATTCTCAGTCCGTAAAATCATATGGTCAAGTACAGCGAGTAAGTTAACTCAGAAAACCTCTAAGCCTAATGCTCGTATCAGTCCGATCAGTTGTTCAGGGACAATGGCTAACAAATGCCTGGGCTTATGAACACGACAATCGAACGGATGGACAAGAATTTACTAAGTTAAGCAAAAGTCTATGACCTTAGCATCGATTTCACTAATCACATTACTCAGTCAGAAATGGGGGAAAAATGCATATGAAAACGAAAATTAAATCAGAAGATTACACAAACCTACAAATATTGTTTTGAAAATTTGTTATCAATGTCTTCAAACGTCAATTTGACGAGTAAATTTCCCGAACCGTCGAAGCCATAAAAATTAAGATAGGTAACCGAAATAAAGCACAAATACTCTTCGATCGATTGCGAATACGAGTTTCAAAAATGAATATCATCTACGCACATATACGCACCCACAATGCAGGGAAAACCGACACAACTTCGAAAAACTTGGACGAATTTTTCATGTTTTTCTTTATAACGTTCGATCCTATCGAGATAGAATTCAAAACCTTTCGCGCAGACGTTCATTGGGATAATTTTTATATTAAATCCAAAAATCGTTCCGATCGTTTTGCTAATACATTCGCAATTACCAATAAGATCCAATCCACTATGTGCCTTAGAATAAATTGTAAAATAAGTCGGAATTGAAATTTTGTCGTTAATTATCGATGTATTAGAAAACTGGTCGAGACAAGCTTCGTATCAAACATGCGGTTAGTTTTGGTAAACAGTTGGAGCGAAAGTTATTGACAAACATTTTGTAAAATTGTCAGTATTTTTCGAAATCATTTGAATTTGTTTTGCATTGTAAGCGCGTAACAGTAAACAGGTCACGCTCACTTTGTAATCTCATATTCTTAAGGGATCATCGCATATTTCCGACAAATTTCAACTTGCTATCGTGACGGTTCATCAAAAATTGCCCATCAAATTGACGGACATAGTCATAATTATAAAATATTACATTTGGATCGAATTATGAAACATATATATATATGCATACAAATATATATATATATATATATATAAACTTATATATATACATATATATATATATATATATATATATATATATAAATTTTAGATATAACTGTCTATATAAACATATATAATATAAGTATGTATATTATATAGGAAGCAATCTGCAATATCTTAAAAAATCGTCTAATTTGCGCAGAAATTTTAAAATCGAAAACTCCTCAAATTGGCGGATGACTTAAATCAAGCGGTAAATAGAATATTCCAACCGCTTCATCCAGAACATTTTTTCTTTCTTCTTGGGTACTATGATCAAATTTCGGTTTTCATCATTGTCACGTCATTAGTTGGGATCTCCTTGCATCTTATAGGATAAATGTTCAAGAGGTAGGTTGTTTTTTCTTCGATTGATTGATCATCAGGCCATCAAGCGTTCAATGTTCGTTGACAATCTCACAGTAATCAGGCATTGATTTTGATGAAACATGTCTTTCTATTTAAAGCGCTTTAGTTAAGCGCATGAATTTTTAAAACAAATCTGCAAAATGTCTGCAATTTCGCGAGCAACTTACTGCAATACTGACCTGTTAATATGAATCTTTGTTGAGCTTTCCTGGGAGCGAACTCTTCCGAATAATCAATAGATGATGAATTCTATTATGGAGGTGACAGCCGTAGTAAGTGATAGTTTTCCTGGAATAACAATTTGATTGAAAGGCTTTTGCTGGCAACCGATCGCTTGAAATAATTATCATAAGAAGCAGTTGTTTACATAAATTATCCCGTAAATATTTTCCTCGCCTACGACAGAGTTTCCAGTAATTGCCTATGGAAATTTATGAATTTCAATAGTTTTCTTACGAGGAAAGTTTTGCATCTTAAATCGTTCATTGTTCATAGTTTCTTGTTTATATAGTTTGGTGACTTTTTTACATTTACCACGTCACGCTGTTAAGAAAGAATGCTAACTTTCTCATTTCGATTCTAAAACTTGCAAAATCAGTAATAAATAAACATAGGTAAAAGGAGTCTGCAAAGAGCAAATTGAAAGATCATTCCATAGCATTAAAGCAGAAAAATGACAGTCAAAAGCTGTTCATAATTTTTTTTTTTTTTTTTAAGGAAATAACTTATCTATCCGCTTAATTATAAGGTACATTTCAAACAATACAAGCGTCATATAGTCAAATATTGCCGATAATGTAAACTTAAGCGCAAACGTAACAATTAGAAAAACATTAAACATGCAACCCTGGGCCACAAATGCCCGGGATTTGACTAATCCCGAACCGGTCCGAATAAGTGTTTGATAATCGTCCAGCTTATGGTAGAAGCACTCACGCCAAATCCGAGCAAGTTGTAACTCTCATTATATTGTTGCCACAATATACGGAGAGCATCATTGCTTCCATACCTTGTTCCGTAGTAATTGAGATTAAGCAGTCGAAAATGCCTAGACACTCACCGTGGAAGATTCATGTAAGTTTTAGATAACGAGTTATCGGGATCAGATATGTCACGCGGCAGCTTGCAAAAAAAACGACACATTAAGGATAACTCGTCTGCTTTCAAGAGTGGTCAGCCTTGTAATCACCAAACGATTCCTATATGAGGGTAGGCGGACGTAACGACACCGTAAGCAAAATAGAAAGAATTGTTTTCGTGCGGACTCAATTTGGTTACGGTAAAGATCATGTTGTGAATCCCAGATAATTGACCCAGAATAGCTCTCACTAACGATATATACAGCAATCGAGTAGTGTACGGATCACGAAACTGTTTAGCCCAACACTTGCTGAAGCCCGAAGTGCTTTTTTTCCTTATTAACGGTAACATTAATACATGCATTGAAGGACAGTTTTCTATTAAAGGAAACCCCGCTCTACTGATCGGTACATGAATCTTATTTATAAATTTAGATATTCTTGATTTTCTGCGATATACCGAACGCATTTATCCAGCAGACAACCGTGTGCTTACTTTTGTTTATATTCAGGTATATCAAACTTGAAGGAACAAACACCTGAAAGTAGTGAAAATTTTCAGCTGTCTAAGACATGTATTAATTGCTTTAGATATCGATCAGATACGATTGACCTTTGAAATCCACTTTAAAGCGAATATATTCCATCATAGGTTATTTCACTTCTTTTAACCATTTGACTGGAGGGAAAGAGAGAGGGAGAGAGATAGAGATTGATTGAAATTGGAGTTGATTCAGTTGGCCATCATTTCGTTCTTCATCCACAACGTAAATACCCGAAAATAAAAATATTTCGTTCAAAATTGATTGTCTTCTCTCTCACTCAGGTTCGAAAACACCTTAAGCTTACTTCCAACATCATGTTTCGAGCTTTTATTCACACACATGTATACATATCAAAAAATAATTTGCCGCTAAATACGCAGCCATATAGCTTATATATCTATATATACACATGTATATTATATGTTGTATTATATGTCACTTGATAGGTTTATAGGATAGGAAATAAAAAAATGGCGCCCCTCCTGACGCTACTTTGTTTCTGAATACAGAAGCGTAGTGTCACTAACGCAGAACTTTGTAAACTAGCGGTCGGCGGAATTTTCTACAAATTTAACACATTTCGTTTGAAAATTGACATATCATATGGATTCGCCAATAGTCAATTTGCATCTGTATGTCATCGTATAAAGTAATTGAGTAATGGATTACACATCGGTTCACTTGATCAAACTCGTAATAGTAAATTTAATTAGAAAACAAAACGCGGCGCGATAAGGATAGTCGAAGGGAACATAAAGTAAATGTAGTTTTGCATAATTTAAAAAACATTAAGTCGTCGTACTCCCGGTTAGGGCCTATTAGTGCACCTTAAAGATTAGATTAATAGAATTAAGAAAATCATAAACGGCTATGATCGAATCTTTAATCCTTAAAAAAAAAAACAATTTCCTTGTTACACTTCGCTTAATATACGAGTAATAAATAAAAAAAACACAATTTTTTTTATTTCGTCTTTTTGCACTTAAAGCGGTGGCGTTTTTGTTTTATATTGCACGCGCTAATGTACCCCTTGAACTATTGGACGCATTTCCAACAGCAATCGGCCTGCAAGAATATTCAATATTTTTGGCAAATTTCAAGGTGATATCTTAACT